CCCCACTTCCCGAGGGAGGTCCCAGGAATTGTGCTAAGTGCTTTATACACATTACCCCATTTAATCCTTTCAATAACTCAATTATATTTTCAGATGAGAGAATTGAAGCTCAGGAGAAGTCAGCTCAGGAAGGGGTTTAAGTTCTATACACTGTCAGAGTGTTTGGATTTGGGAGAAGATCAAGGCTCTGAGGAGAGGTGAGGCCAACACTTTGCTTTTTGGCATATGCTGGGAGCTCCCAAGATGCCATAGCTTCTGGTTTTCCCTGGCCCTTTCCTGGGTTAACCTCATTATGTATACTGGGATGATTTTAAATTTTTAAAAAAGATTTATTTATTTCTTTTAGAGAGAGAATGCAAGTGGGGGCGAGGGGAGGAGCAGAAGAAGAGGGAGAGAAGCAGACTCCCTGTGGAACAGGGACCCCCCCATGTAAGGCTCCATCCCAGAACTGTGGGATCATGACCTGAGCCAAAGGCAGATGCTTAACCAACTGAGCCTGTTTTCTGCCTATGTCCTCTACTAGTTAATTTACATGGGTTAAAAACAGTGGGTTCTCTGTGGCCTTCATGGCAGGGCCTTCATGGCAAGGCAAGGCAAGCCAAGACACAATGGGGCCTTCGCAGCAAGGCAAAAAGGCAGTTCATCTGCCGGCACCCTGCATAGCCTAGAATGCTATGGGGAAGTTGGGGGAAGGCAGGCTTCCCTCCTACAGGCCTTTTATGGCAGGGAGTGATCATAGTGATTTCGTTCGAGGGACGCCTCTGGTTGCCTTGACTCCAGGCGCGTGGGAACACCACACAGGAGTGGGGGTGGGACAGCACCCAGGAGTTGGGTTCGAGTGATTTTCTTGGTAATGAACCATTTCTACTTTTCCAGGAACATGGCAGTTTCCTCTTCAGTTTCATCTTCCTTGGGTTGGCCTAACCCACTGGAAACAATTTGGATTGTAAGATCTAAGGAAAAAGTGGGGTGCCTGGGTGGCTCAGTGGGTTAAGCCACTGCCTTCGGCTCAGGTCATGATCCCAGGGTCCTGGGATCGAGTCCCGTATCGGCTCTCTGCTCAGCGGGGATCCTGCTTCCCTTCCTCTTTCTCTGCTTGCCTCTCTGCCTACTTTTGATCTCTCTCTGTCAAATAAATAAATAAACTCTTTAAAAAAAAGAGTTTGTTTATTTATTTGACAGAAAGAGAGTACAAGTAGGCAGAGAAGCAGGCAGAGAGAGAGGAGGAAGCAGGCTTCCCGCTGAGCAGAGAGCCTGATGCGGGGCTCGATCCCAGATCATGACCTGAGCCGAAGGCAGAGGCTTTAACCCACTGAGCCACGCAGGCACCCTAAATAAATAAAATCTTAAAAAAAAAAAAAGATCTAAGGAAAAAGAAACTAATCTTCTTCTGTAACAATGCATGACCTCGGTACTCCTTAGGAGACAAGGAAAAATGGCCCATTAATGGGACAGTAAACTTTTATACAATCTAGATCTCTATCTCAAGAAATGGGGCAAATGGACAGAGATGCTCTATGTTCGGGCTTTCTTGCCTCTAGATCAGGTTCCGGACCTAAGGGCCTGTTGCAGAATGTGTTCGGCCACTAATCAGACCAACAAATCCCCTCCCGATGTATTGGATAATGATTGTTTGAACACTAATGAATCTGAGTTGTCAGAGGAAGCACAGGCCTCTCCGAATGAAGAGGACTTCGATCCTGTCACTTCTCTTTATGAGCCTGAAGACCCTTCTCTGCCCAGCTGAGCACACGAGGAGCAGACTCCTTACCTCCCTGGAGCTCCCCCTAAATCAGCGTTATATCCTCCTTGGGAGGTTGCCAACAGAGAAATGGGCACTATACGAGCCCACGTCCCGTTCTCCAGGGCAGACTAGGGTCAAAACAACAATTAGGATAATATTCTGAAAACCCTTCTCCATTTATTGAGGGTTTTCAACAAATATCCATTATGTTTGATTTGATCTGGCCATATATATGTGTGTGTATATATAAAATATTATATAAATAATATAAAAATAATCATATACAATATAAATACATATATATAATATCTATCTATCTATCTATCTATCTATCTATCTATCTATCTATCTATCTCAATCATACTAACTCGGTGCTGCACCCCTGAGGGGAAAAACAACCGCATCTGGGTAGGCGCCCAAGAGTTTGCTGATGACAAGGGACAGAGAACATTATCCGGTGGGGGGGCTGCTGTCCCAAACACTGAGTCACATCGGAACTATCAGGAGGCTAGTCAGGGAAGAGAGGAACAAGATTGTATGATCACCTGCCTGACAGAAGAAATGAGAAAAGGCTTTACTAAAGGTACACATTTTAACAAAATTCAGGAAGTCACACTAAGCTGATAAAAATCCTGCTCTATTTTGGAGTCACTTAGTAGACAAAGCTATTGGCAAGTATGGAAACCTGGACCCAGGGACACCTGAAGGAATAACTATTTTAAACAGGCAGTTTATAAATCTGTCTTTACAGGACATCTACCTAAAACGGCTTTAGGCCCTCAAACACCCACTCAACATCTCTTGGAGGTGGCCACAGGAGTTTTTAGTAATAGGGACATGATACCAAAACAGGAAAAGGACCAGAGGGCTAAATTAGAGGGTGAGATACCAGCTCGAATACTGGCTGCCAGGATTGAGAACGCCCCACGACACCCGGCTAACCCAGAAGGAGGCAAGGGCCGCTTCTGGGTGAAAGGTCGGGTGAGACCCCATGCTTCCGATGCGACCAGATTGGACTTGTAAGAAAGGGGCAGGCGGGGCTAGGTAGGGAGAGATTGGTAAGGAGCTACATGATCAGGTTCATAGAAATCTCCCAAACGCGGAGGTGTAAGGAAACCAGAGACAAGGGAATGCTCCAGAGCAACCTGCCTTAGGTGTCCGACGGGGAAGTCTTATTTATGACGGTCTCGGGGCGCCTGGGTGGCTCAGTGGGTTAAGCCTCTGCCTATGGCTCAGGTCATGATCTCAGGGTCCTAAAATCGAGCCCCGCATCGGGTTCTCTGCTCAGTGGAGAGCCCACGTCCCCACCCCCCTCTGCCTGTCTCTCTGCCTACTTGTGATCTCTTTCTCTGTCAAATAAATGAATAAAATCTTTATTTATGACGGTATCCTGCGGTCAAAAGAAAATAACCAGAACCCTAAAAAGAAGTAAGCCATTAAAGACGTTATCACTAGCCCTTAATCAATGGTGTTGCCAGGAGAGAAGTCAAAAAGATACAGGTTCCCTGGTTAAGTTTCAATAAAAGACCAACCCAAAAAGCTCTCAGTGGCCCCCCTGTCGGGACCCCTCTCACTCCTGAGAGCTTTTTTCTGTACCTTTGCTTAATAAAAACTCTATCGCTTTACTCACAAGAATGAATGTGAGATTCATTCCTTGACTCTGCGAGACAAGAACCTAGCTCTCCCACTTCAGTTGGAGCAGTAAATGTCCCAAGAAGGGCTCTCCCCCTTGGCCATGTCCAGCATGTAAAAAAGAAGGACGTTGGAAGAGAGACTGTCCTCGTCTCCAGAGAGAGAGGAGGACAGACACTCACGTCCTGCCAGAGAGGAAGCAGAACTGGAGGGTCCTCCATGACGGGACCCTGAGGCTGGTTGGTCAGGCTCTTTTGATGTCAAGATGATTGAGTTCCGGGTTGCCCTAGAAGTTGCCCGGGAGTTGAGTTTATCAATTTTCTTATGGATACAGGTGGCACTTTTTCAGCCCTCTGGCCCTACTTGTCTTTCTAGCCATAGAGTTGTCCGTATAGAAGGGGAAACTGAAACCTACCATCAGACGATGACTCTAATTTGTAAATACAAAAGCCAATTGCTTACTCATGGTTTTCTGGCCCTTCTATCTCGTCCCACTCCATTACTCGAGCAAGGCTTGACCTATAAACTAGGAAGCAGTTTTGCTCTTTTTTTTTTTTTTTTTAAGATTTTATTTATTTATTTGACAGAGGGAGATCACAAGTAGGCAGAGAAGCAGGCAGAGAGAGAAAGGAGGAAGCAGGCTCCCCGCTGAGCAGAGAGCCCCATGCGGGGCTCAATCCCATGACCCTGGGATCATGACCCGAGCCAAAAGCAGAGGCTTTAACCCACTGAGCCACCCAGGCGCCCCAGCAGTTTTGCTCTTACAAAAGAAAAGGATGGTATGTTCTCTTTAACACTTGGAGTACAAAACCCTTACCCTGATATCCGTTTTGATATTTGGAAGGAAGTTAACCCACAGGTCTGGGATTGTGATGTCCCCAGAAGGGCTCTTTTTTTTTTTTTTAGCAAAACAAAACTGCATGTTTTATTTATCAAAGACAATGAAATCAGAAAATACAGAGAAATACAAAATAAGTTATAAAGCATAATTTATTTTTTCAGAAATGGAAAAATGTCCCTGATTAGTTTTAGATGTATCTTTTAGTAGTAGTCAGTATCTAATTATAAACAAACAACCAATTTTATATTTTCTCTATAGCTGTATTAAATGATTTTTAAGTTTAAAAGATGATGTAATTCCCATCATTTTTAATGTTGGCATTCAAAAACAAAAATAGAACTGAAAAGAAAACAGATGAGACAAAATGATTTGCAAAATGTAGTAGCTTGTGAATGTAGATTCGGGTTGTAGTAATGGTCACATACACGCATACTCTTGCCACGTGCACACACACACACCACACTCCCATATTCCACAGACACATTTCTGTAACTTGAAAACAGATTATTTTGCATATCTTAATTCAAGATATGATTTTATGTTAATCCTACAATCATAAAGCAAGAAGCTATTAGTACAAGTTCTGATTTGTTTCATTTAACAAACTAAACATCTAAAGAAAAATTATTACAATGAAAATTGAAAGATACTTTTATTGGCTTTTTAAAAGACAAATGCCAATGAGAATATCTTATTCAGAAAATTAATTTTCAAAAGTGTCTTAAGTGAAATAAATATAATATCTAACAATCTCTTCCTGCAAGACTCTCTAAGATGGCAATCTTTTTTTTTTTTTTTTTTTAAGATGGCAATCTTAAAAACCAAGCTTCTCGACTGAGAATCCCTAAACCTGGCATGTGCCTTAAAAAGAAAACAACAAAAAGATGTTCTCTTAAAGGACATGAGGAATACCCATATCTTCTTAAAATCTGTCCTAAAACAAACTATCTTTAACATCCAGATTTTCTCTATATATTAAGTTCACTTAATTTTAAATTAATTGAAAAGATATCCAGACACAGTTTCTAAGAAAACAATGCAGAAAGTAATTTATGCATGGTTATTTACAGAAAGAGTTTGCTAAATAATAATGTAACTATCATGTTCAAAAATCTGACAAAGCTTTTCTATAATCAGCACTGCGGTTTTCAAAAAACTATATATAACAAAGGGCGTTTCATATGTAGAGTCACTAGATGAATCTAGGAGCCAGAAACTAAAGCATTTGACATGGTTAATATAATTCCATTTTTATTATACTAAATGTCAGGTCAGAAGTCAATGGCATTTACATGCTGGAAGACTGTTTCTCACTCACCCCTTTCAATTATATCAAACACCGATTAACCAAATATGACTGGACTTTACTGCTACAACTTTATGGTTTCTTTCAAGTATACGCAAATCTTTTACATGGGCACATATGCAAACGTGCAAAACAAATGAAATTTAAATATTTAAGAGAATGAACAGAAATGGCTTTTAAGCATAAACCATCCTGCCATTCAATTTTGAAGATCTATCTTTTCTTCACTAATTTGTCTTCTGCTTTTAGAAGTCTTCTATCCTATTAAAGTTGTAGGTTTACAGATGATCTGGAAATTTCACATTGGTTTAAGAAAAGAATGTCCAGTCGATGCAGTCTCTATAATAAGAAGAAATATCTTGTTCTATGAGCAGCTGCCATACTTTCAGACATGTTTCTGACTTTTAGATAATTAACAAATCCTCTGAAGAAAAGCAGCAGGCCAAGTACAAGAAATATCCACCAAAGCCAATACTGTCCATTGAAATATCCAGTAAAATAATCAGAAAACCTAACAATAAGAACCCATTTGATCAACGAAAGTCCAAATCCACAGATGGCACCATACCTTCCAGCTATGGTATTGGTGATACAGAAGGATAAACAAAATCCAAGCCAGTTGAAAATAAATGCCATGAAAAATGCCAGCATGAAAATCCCATCATTACCCACTCTGAGCTGGTCTGCATCACTAAAGTCATCTCTTGGCTGACACTCTTCCTCCCGAATTCTCTGGGCTGTCTCTGCTGCTGCGGCCGCCATGGCAACAGCTTTGGCCTTCTCAGCTTCATCGTATGTAGGAAGGGAGGTAGCGACACTGTAGGGAGGTGGCACAGGGTAAAACTCACTGTAAACTTCTGTATCTGAAGTTGTAGGTACTTCCACAGTAATACTACTGTAAGGGGGAGGAGAAGAGTCCGTTTCAAGTACTGATGCTGAAGGAGCAGTCTGAACGCTCTGCGGCGCTGCGTTTGAAGTTGAAGGTTGCTCTTCGGCAGATGACTCTGAATTATCCTCTTCATTGTGAAGCACCTGGTAGCGGCCTGTTCCTGGCTGGTGATGATCCATCCTGCCCGGCTCGGGATCTGGCTTTGGAGCCGGCGAGTCCTCTGGGTGCTCGACCCCTCGTCCACCCCCCGTCGCCGACGTCACTACCGCAGCGCCCCTTCCGCCTCCGTTTCTGCCGCCGCGGTTGCCCGGCCGGGCCGCTTCACTTCCTGTCGCTCCCGCAGCAGCCGCGGAAACCTCCGCGTCCGCCACCGCGAGGTGAAGCCCCAGAACCGTCCCCAGAAGGGCTCTTAAAGCACAACCAGTTAAAGTGATCTTAAAAGACCCAGTTGCTATGCCTTATAGAAGACAGTATGCCTCAAAGGCTGAGACAAAGGCTGGATTACAACCACTTATTGATACATTTCTCACATACGGTACTTTAAAACCATTTCATTCTCTTTATAACATTCCAATTTTACCAGTAAAAAAGCCAATGGGAGGGCTCAGTTGCTTAAGCGTCTGCCTTTGGCTCGGGTTGTGCAGTCCTGGCATCGAGTCCCACGTCTGGCTCCTTGCTCAGTGGGGAGCCTGCCTCGCCCTCTGCCCTTCTCCCCTGCTCATGATGGTTCTCTGTCTCTCTCTGTCTCTTGATCTCTCTCTCTCAAATAAATAAATGATTTCTTTAAAAAAGAAAAGAAAAATCAAATGGAGAATATCGAGTGGTACAAGACCTAAGGGCCATAAATGACGCAGTCATACGTATTCAACCCAGAGTGCCAAACCCATATACTATTCTCACCCTGGTCCCTGGGGATGCCGACTGGTTTACTGTACTTGACTTAAAAGACACCTTCTTTTGCACCCCTTTGAATGGGCCTCCCCTTCCAGCCTGCTGAATGAGCCTGGACAGTCTTGCCATGGGGATTTAAAGACACTCCTCACTTATTCTGGGCTGCACTTAGCAAAGACCTTCGTGATATCACTCTGCCTCAAGGGCCTATAATTCAGTATGTGGGGGATATTTTAATCTCTGGTCCAACAGAGGAAATCTGATAAAAATTCTATAACCTTACTTAATTTCTTGGCGGACAGAGGGTATCATGTGTCTCCTAAAAAGGTGCAAATATCTGAGCAGAAAGTATGATATTTGGGATATGAACTAACACCACATCACTATAGTCTATCTACTGATAGAAAAAAGGCCCTATTAGATCTTGAGCCCCCAACTACTAAGAAACAACTCTGAACTTTCCTCGGCGTGGCAGGCGTTTGCTGCCTAGGGAATCCCTGGATTGGGGCTCATAGCCAAGCCCTTGTATGATTCAATTAAAGGTCTTGATGAAGAGCCTTTACTCTGGACTGAAGCCCAGCAGACAGCCTTCGGAACGTTGAAAACTAAACTCCTATCAGTCCCAGCCTTGGTTCTACCACATTTAGAAAAATGTTTTACTTTATACATGCAGAGAAATGGGGCCAAGCTTTGGGAGTTATCACCCCAAAATAGGAGATGAAACAAGACCAGTGGGCTATTTTTCTAAGTCACTCGACAGTGTAGCACGAGGGTGGCCGGCTCGTCTCTGAGCGGTGGCTGCGACTGCACTCCTGGTAGAGGAAGCCTCAAACCTTAGTATGGGATAGTCCCGAACTGTGATGACCTCACACCAGGTCCACAGTGTTTTAGGAACTAAAGATTAGCAATGAATGACTGGGACAGTGGGGGGTGGGGGTGGTGTGCAACTTACTAAACACCAGGCTGTGCTTTTAAACATACCTGAAGTGGTCCTTAAGACCTGTCAGACTTAGGGGCTCCTGGGTGGCTCAGTGGGTTAAGGTCTCTGCCTTCGGCTTGGGTCATGATCCCAGGGTCCTGGGATCAGGCCCTGCATCAGGCTCTCTGCTCAGCGGGGAGCCTGCTTCCTCCCTCTCTCTCTCTGTCTGCCTCTCTTCTACTTGTGATCTCTGCCTGTCAAAAAAAAAAAAAAAACAAAAAACCTGTCAGACTTAGGGGCTCCTGGGTGGCTCAGTCAGTTAAGCATCTACCTTTGGCTCAGGTCATGGGATCAAGCCCCGCATTAGGCTCTCTGCTCAGTGGGCAGTCTGCTTCTCCTTCTCCCTCTGCTGCTACTCCCCCTGCTTGTTATCTCTTTCTCTCAAATACATAAATACAATCTTAAAAGAAAAAACAAAAAGAAACTTGTCATTATGTCTAGACCTGACCCTTGTACTTCTATAGAACATAACTGTTCTGGGGTTATTGATCTCATTCATTCTAGCCAATCAGACTTAAAATATTCTCCTATTGATAAAGCAGATGACAGTGTTTAGTGGTGACCGTAGTTTTATGGAAAAGAGGATAAGAAAAGCTGGGTATGCAGTCGTCAGTCTAATTCAGACTATTGAAGCCAAAGCTCTCCCAGCAAATACATCTGCCCCCAAAACAGTTCGTAGCATTCGCTTGTGCTTTACCATTGGCAAAGGACCTCAGAATCAGTATCTATACGGACTATTAAATATGCCTTCCTGGTCCTACAGGTGCATGGGGCAACCTGGAAAGAGAGGGGGTTATTATCAAGTCCTAACTCTCCCATTAAATATGGACCTGAAATAACAGATCTCCTAGAGGCTGTGCATGAATCAAAAGAGGTGGCTGTAATTCATCTCAGGCGACATCAAAAGGACAGGTCCCTGGAATCAGAGGGGAATAACACAGCAGACGTGCAGCCCTGGAGGCTCCTCAAAGCCTGCTAGTACCGAGTCTCCTACCAGTCCCGCCGCCAAAAAAATGTGTATCCCCAGTCTATTCAGATCAAGGTAACCTGAGTAGCCCAGGAACGGGGATTTTCAAAAAATGCACAGGACTAGTTTATAACTGATGGAGGAAAAGTCTTTATACTCAAAGGCAACCAATGGAAATTAATGCAGGGTATACATCAGACTACTCGTTTGGGTAGAAAGGCCTGGAACAAATGGTTAAAAACACCTTTGATTTATTCTTTTATTCTTCACAAGATGGGATTGGGAGGGAGACAAACCATAAGTGACTCTTAATCTCACAAAACAAACTGAGGGTTAATGGGGGGAGGGGGGTTGGGGGGGTGGGATTATGGACATTGGGGAGGGTATGTGCTATGGTGAGTGCTGTGAAGTGTGTAAACCTGGCGATTCACAGACCTGTACCCCTGGGGATAAAAAGATATTATATGTTTAAAAAAATAAAATTAAAAAAAATGTAAAAAAAATTATTATATTTACCATTAGTAAAAACAAAACAAAACAAAACAAAAAAACACCTTTGATGGGATTCACTTAATCACTACCATTGAATAGGTTTCTCAATCCTGTGCTATTTGCGTACATCCAAATCCAGATGGAGCTATTGGTGCCTCCCCCCTGTCCCCTGGCTTTTAAAGCCAGTCCAAAGGTGGGGAACATATCCTGGGGAGGACCAGCAATTAGATTTTATGCAGATACCATCATGGAAAGGATATAAATACTTCCTGGTTTAAACAGACACCTTTACCGGATGGATAGAGGTCTTTCCTTGTAGAACAGAAAAGGCCACTAAGGTATTAAAAACTTTGCTAAGGGAAATTATCTCTAGATTTGGACTCCCTCAGTCCCTACAAAGACAATGGACCATCTTTTATTGCACAAATAACTCAGCAAATAGCTTGGGCCTTAAAGATTAATTACTGGTGGGAGACAAACCAGAAGAGACTCTTAACTCTAGGAAATAAATGGAGTATTGCTGGAGAGGAGGGGGATGGGGTGAGGGGGGTTAACCAGGGCATGGGCCTTAAGGAGGGCAAGTGATGTAATGAGCACTGGGCGTTACATGCAACTGATGAATCACTAAACTCTACCTCTGAAACTGGTAATACACTCTATGTTAATTGATGAAGTTCTAGAACCTAGGTGAGGTTCGATGGGGTGAGGTCTGGAGCCAATGACCAAGAAAGAATTCTTGAGACATCTTTGGTGCAAAATGGTGGTTTATTAAAGCATGGGGACACGACCCATGGGCAGAAAGAGCTGCTGCCCCAAGTTGTGAGGGATGGCAGGTTATGTACCCTGCGGTTGGGGGAAGGTGAGGGAAAAGGGGAGTTTCCGTGGAGCTTTCATATGCTAAAGAGGGTCTACAAGGTGCAGGGATACCGGAAGTCTTGTGGCCTGATCAATGTTGTCTTTTGGCAAGCCATAAACATCAAGATAGTTGGGAGATTCCTGGTGGGATGTCACAATCCTGCTAACAAGCATATTTGTTAGTGAGATTTAGGTATAGAAGAAACTTAACTTTACTTACATTTCCTTCTACCCCAGCCTCCTACAGTTTTGTTTTTGGAGGGGAGGGTGACATTAGGGTTTGAGGAACGGAGTTATTTGCTTCTGGAAGTTGTGCTATTGATAAGGTAACTTCTTTGTAGATCTCCAGGACATTTGTAAACCAAGGGAGACTCCTGTCTTGCAGGATTGTGATCGCTGCAAGTTAACTATTTGTTTCTCATTTATGGCAGTCACGGGTGCCTGAGGAATGTCACATATATTACCGAGGAGAGGGGAGCAGGTGGAGAGGGGGTGCAAGGTGCCAGCTTTTGCTTTGTCCTCAGCCAGCCTCCTGCTCCCTCATCATTCCCCCCTGAACAATTTTGACCCTTTGTAAGGACCTATTTTATATTTTTATATTTTAGCAAGAGGCTTTCATTGAGGTTAAACAGAAACCTTGTTGTTTAACTCTTAAACTGTCCCTGCTCCCCTTCCCCCAGGGGATTCACTTAAAAACAAGTCCCAGAAACCAGTTCCAGGTAACAAAGCCCAGATACAAGGGTGGATCAGGCTAGGTGGAGACATCAATCAGTGGGGGGTTGCATACTGTTTCCCTAGCTACCAAGGAATATGGCCCCCCCCACCCCCGCCCTTTAGGATCTTTGGCGCCAATCCTAATCAAGGTGTAATAGGCTGGGTCAAATGTCTACTAGGGTAAATTGTAACTCAATTGGTCACCTAGCATCACTGTGAAGTTTCCTGTGTGTGTTACAATCTCATTGGTCACCTGAGCATGGCCAGGCCCGACCGCATGGCCTTTGCCCTTAAAAGCTACTCTATGAGGGGCACCTAGGTGGCTCAGTGGGTTAAAGCCTCTCCCTTCGGCTCAGGTCATGATCCCAGAGTCCTGGGATCGAGCCCCACATTGGGCTCTCTGCTCTGTGGAGAGCCTGCTTCCCCCTCTCTCTCTGTCTGCCTCTGCCTAATTGTGATCTCTGTCTGTCAAATAAATAAATAAAATATAAAAAAAAAAAGACTCTCTCCCTCTGCTCCATCCCTTCTTAAAGAAAAAAAAAAAAAAAAAAGCTAGTCTGTGAAACAGAGAAGGGTCTCCCAAGAGGTGTGTCCCCGATCGTTCGGTTAGATTCTTGATGCTTGGCGCAAAATAAAGCTTTGCTTGACCTTCGCTTTGTATCAGTCTCGCTCTTTTAATCACGGACCCATTATTGGGGCATAACAGTCCTTGCTTAGCAACATCAGTATCTCCTAGGATTTACTAGTAATGTAGAATCTCACCCCCCACCAAGACCTACTGAGTATGAATCTGCATTTTAACAAGATTCCAAGCACTGTATCTGGTGACCCCAATTTTCTCTCACCACTGCAGTATACTGATTCTAACAATTCACTAAGCAGAAACAGGTCCAGCAATGCTAGATGCGGAAGGAGGCACACAAGGAGGGCAGGACACTGACCTTAAGGAGCATACAATTTAGTTCAGTAGTTTTAAAACTTTACCATGCAGAGGATTTCCTTGGGGGAACTTGTTAAAAATGCAGGCCTGGAGCTGTCCCCTTCCAAGGCAGATCCAGTAGCTCTTACCTGGGCCTGGGACTGTGCATTTCTTTCTTTCTTTCTTTTTTTTTTTTTTTTTTTGGTCAGAGAGTGAGCACAGGCAGACAGAGTGGCAGGCGGAGGCAGGCAGAGGCAGAGGGAGGCAGAGGGAGAAGCAGGCTTCCTGCTGAGCAAGGAGCCCGATATGGGACTCAATCCCAGGATGCTGGGATCATGACCTGAGCCGAAGGCAGCTGCTTAACCAACTGAGCCATCCAGGCGTCCCGGGACTGTGTATTTCTAACAAGCACTCAGGGGGATTCTGATGCTCCTCGGCTTCAGGAAACACTAGAGTAACCCCTCCCCTTTCATCGTGCCATTTTTCTCCCCCTACTATCAGGCTCCCTTTGTGGCAGGCCAGATGGACTACTGCATGGACAACCCAGCCACCTTCTTGCCAGTCCTGGTTGGTTTCAACCCTGTGAACATGGCCAGGTGAGCCCACTGTAATGAAAGGTAGTGACGGGCCAGGCCCCTTGGGGAGGCTGAGAGGAAACCTGTCAAAATCTACAGTACAGGGGTGCCTGGGTGGCTCAGTTGGTTAAAGCCTCTGCCTTCGGCTCAGGTCATGATCCCAGGGTCCTGGGATTGAGCCCTGCATTGGGCTCTCTGCTCAGTGGGGAGCCTACTTCCCCCTCTGTCTCTGCCTGCCTCTCTGCCTGCTTGTGATCTGTGTCTGTCAAATAAATAAATAAAAATCTTTAAAAAACAAAACAAAACAAACAAACAAACAAAAAACAAAATCTTCAGTACAGCCACAAAGAGGAGGGCATGGTGGCTGAAACGGTCCAGAGACAAAAGGAGGAGACTGATACAAGGCGAAGGTCAAGCAAAGCTTTATTTCGCACCAAACATCGAGAATCAAACTGACGGGCCAGGGTCGTCTCTTGCAAAGAGGCGACCCCTCCCAGCCTCACAGACTAACTTTTTTTTTTTTTTTTAAGATTTTATTTATTTATTTATTTATCAGAGAGAGAGAGAGAGAGCAAGCACAGGCAGACAGAATGGCAGGCAGAGGGAGAAGCAGGCTCCCTGAGGAGCAAGGAGCCCGATGTGGGACTCGATCCCAGAACGCTGGGATCATGACCTGAGCTGAAGGCAGCTGCTTAACCAACTGAGCCACCCAGGCGTCCCTCACAGACTAACTTTTATAGAGTAAAGGCCATGGGGTTGAGCCTGGCCACACACAGGTGGCCAGTTGAATTACATTCTACCCCATGATAGTCATCTAATTCAGCCTATGACCTTGGCTAGAATTGGCGCCTTTGTCTGGTGCCCAAAAGGCGGGGGCTCACGCTCCCTGGCGGGTAATACATGCGCTTTCCCTTGATTGGACATTTCCATCTGGCCGGACAAGTCCTTGAATCTGGGCTCCGTTATTTTTGCCCAGCCTGACATGTCCTGGGATCTGTGCTCCGTTAGTGGGGCTATTTGGCCATATTTCACCAGTTCTGTTTCTAAGCGCTTTCCTCTTGGGGGGAAGAGGCAGGTTCAATCTAAGTTTACTGCATAAACAACAAAATGGCTCGCTCTGGCTAAGTAGGCCCTTACAGTGGCTATGGTCTTATTCACCGCATCTCAGAACATTAAAGTAAATACGGACTGTCCCTGAGCTTATGAGGTTTTTGTTTTGGGTGGGTTTTTGTTTGTTTTGTTTCTGT